ATGAGTCAGTTGTGAGATAAGGCCACAGCAAGCCCAAACAAAGAATGAGCTATAGACTGGAATCAACAGCCTGAGTGCATTTTTGCCGTGAGGTGTATGATGTGTCAGACTCATCCCCTGCCTTTGAGCAGAAGTTTTTTAGTCTGGAAGAAAATCTGAAGCCCATTTTGGAAATACAGCTGAAGATCTATTTAATGGCTGGAGACTAACTATTAGGCTTTTAGATGCAGAATGAACAAAGATGAACTGCTGTGATGTATCTCTTTTCCATGTCATAGGCATGAGTTAAGTCATCTGCAAGGTTTTAAGGACCACCATGTTTGATTAAGAGTGCCACCTAGTATCTAACTGCAATAACATATACTGAAAAGAACTTTGAGATATTCTAATAACCTCACTGGATATAAAAATAAAAACATTAAAGCATGTCACTTCACAGATTTCACTAAAAATTCAAGAAGCAACAATTCAAAGCTATAATGTAATGAATATTCTCAGTTTGTTTCAGATGTCGCATTAGCTGTTGAAAAAAGCCATGTTATAGAAAATGCTTGCTTTATACTTTTGCCATGTTATAAAAAAAATTTCCAGTAAAAATAATAAACAAGAGTATAAAATTATGATGATGAAAAACTGATTAAGTCTATAAGAAAAAGTTGTATTCCAGCATCTTTTAATAGAAAAGCCTGTGGTTTTCCTTAAATTTAATATCATTTTTTCATAAATTCCTTTACTAAATTTGACACTCTATCACGCATTCTTGCCCCATCCCTGGAAGTGTTCAAGGCCAGGTTGGATGAGGCTTTGGGCAACCTGGTGTAGTGGAGGATTTCCCTGCCCATGGCAGGGGGGTTGGAACTAGATGATCTTTGAGGTCCCTCCCAACCCTAACCATTCTATGATTCTGTGATTCTATGATTCTAAAATGTAGTGTTCAGCAAGATTGCAAGAATATAAACTTCCCATGATCAAACATATTCCGATTATTTAGAAAAAAAATATCAGTCTTGTTGCCTTCAGTTTTGCCATTTGTCCAGTGGGAAGGGAAAATACAGTTTCACAAAAAACATACAACCAAAAATTCCAAATTAAATTAGTGATCCTGTGTCCTCTGTTTTCTTTCTAAGGAGTTCCAAAGCCTGCCTATCCTTTAAGTTTTCACACACTTAGAATCCAAGCAAGGTCAGATTTGATGGTCATTTTGAGGTGCATTGATGAGGCATACCAAAATCTACATAAGTGGGTTTCTTAAGTAACTTCAGAGGTTAAAATCAGAACTAGAGAACTCTTTATCACTCATCGTTCTATGCATTATTTTTACCATATTATTGCACACGAGATTTAGCCACAAAATAGATGTGACAAAATCGCCAAGATGCATTTCGATATCACAGGCCAAACCAAAACCTACGGTAACAAAAAATCCATCATACCGGTAGTCGAACCTTCAGAGCTGCATATAAATTTTTATGAGTGCTCCAGAAAACACATGCTCTGTATCTCCTCTTCTAAAACAAAATTCTGTACCTGCCATACCATGGCTTTCTCATATGACATGTTTTGATCATTCCTGTAGATTGTTTTGATTCATGGATAATGTTTTCTACTGCATGCAAAGGACATAATATCGAATGGATATTTAAAGCTTTCTATTTTCATTTTCACTGAGGTTTTCTTTTGGTTTTTTTTTTCTCTCTTTTTCTCAGTCAATATAATATAATTGATATCTGTTTATTTAAATAACAGCCCTGAATATTCTTTCTCTGCGTCAATCTTTACTTTCCATTCTATTTACTAAATAAAAAGGAGATATGGATACGCCAAACCAGTTCTTTCCAGTGCTACACTGCAGTTGTATGCAAGAGGCATACTAATTTTCCCAGACTATAAAAATTTATTATAGGTATTTTTCTCCATAAGACCTCTTTGTTCATAAAATCTATCCCATTCTTATGAGTCTCGATTTTCAGAGAAGGGACGCTGAATGCGTAGTGATATCCAAAAGTGATTTTGTGGAAACTCTGTATTTTTTACTGTGGTCTTTAACTTGCCTTCCTCTGGAAATTAGGTTTACACAATTGCATCATTCTCATCCTCAACAAATCTTTAGCCTGTTGGACCATTTCATCCTGCTTTAGCCGAGTGCCAGTCTGCTCTGAGTTAATATGTTCCAAACAATTTAGAGAAATTTGCTGGCAAGATACAGAAGAGAGTGCTGTTTGGGGCCTATCACTAAGGGAAATGAAGGGAAAACTCAAACATCATCATTTGCATGATGCAGAGGCCTGGCAGGGAATATTAGATGTAGGTTTGAACAAAACCTCATGGATTTTCTTTGCGCAGCCAGAACAGTTATGGATGTTAGAATCATAGAATCATGGAATGGTTTGGGTTGGAACCGTCAAAGATCGTCTGGTTCCAACCCCCCTGCTGTGGGCAGGGAAACCCTCCACTACACCAGGTTGCCCAAAGCCTCATTCAACCTGGCCTTGAACACTTCCAGGGATGAGGCAGCCACAGCTTCTCTGGGCAACCTGTTCCACTGCCTCAACACCCTCAGAGTGAAAAATTTCTTTCTTAGATCTAATCGAAATCTCCCCTCTTTCAGTTTAAAGGCAGGAACTTAGAGGTAAGTGAGAAGGATAAGCTAGCAGGTGTGAGGAGGGTGAAAGGAGCTGAGAAAGGGGAATAGGTGACATAGGAGAAATCTGAGAGTCCCATGAACAGTTTTAGGACAGTGGTAGAGGGATCTGGAGGAATTACTTCTTGCATGGGATGCAAAGTGCAATGGCAGGGAGACAGAAAGGGTATGTGGGCTAGATGGACAGAAGGCAGACACAAAAATTAAAAAATCTGTGTTAAATCAGGGGAAGGATATCAGCAGAAGATTCACCGAGTGGAGCTTTGGGAGTTGCACTGTGAAGCGCAGTTGTATTTCTGCCAAACAGTTATCTAAAACAGATTAGGGAATCAAGAATAGATCTGACGTGGCTGGGAAATAATATATGTGGAGAATTGCCTATAATCAGCTTATTCCCATGTGAAAAATGTTTCTTTAAACGAAGATGCAAATACTGTGACCTAGAGGGCAGATCTAACCACTTCCTGCATATTATTAATTCTTCCAGCAAGGGGCTCAAAGCCACCATCCAGCAAAAATCATATGTTTTGTATACTAATGTTTAGAATGACTTTTCATTAAAGTATACTCTGGGTAAACAGTCAACACAGTCATTTTGAAAGATTTCAGTCCTCTTTGAGATCTAACAAATGGCCATTCTTTGCAGAGATCAGTATGCAGATTTACACGCTAAAAAGAAAACTTGTGAATTGCCGTATGATAAACCTGAGAAGGTGAATTCAATTTTAAATAAATGACCTCTGGCCAGTGTTTCCTCTAAGCATGAAAGAAAATTACCAGTTTTTAACAGCAATGTAGATAGCACACAGAGAGTGCACCAACCCAGGTAAGTAACCCAGCAATAGCATGACACTAGGTAATGTGAGGATCAACCACACGGACAGAATATAATCAAACCAATTTCAAATGGTATGGAAATGGTGAGATACTTGCAGCAACAGCCTAGCCCAAGTCCAAATCCGTACTATAAATAAACATTTATAATGACACAGACACAACATTTATACTAACTAACTAGTAATTTTTTTACTCTTACTGTAGTTGTAAAACTATCCGTCAATACAACAGTCACAATGAGAAGCAGAATTTGTAAAAATGAGAGAATTATGCAGGGTCTAAGTATATTTCAGTTCTTTCACTGAACAGTCAGCACTGAGTGGCCAAATTCATGCAATCTCCCTAGTCATTGTTTCCCACATCACCTCAACTTGTGGCACTGACGGTATGGCATAGCTCGGAATGGGGACAGTTAATGGTAGGAAATTTAGGCTTGGGAATGTCCTCCACCACTTGTGGTCAGGGCCACAGACATGGGAACAGCAATCTCAGTGAAAGCTGAGGCACAACGCTCCTTCTAAGTTCTATAACTGTAGGAGAGTATCTGGGCATGCACTAGGGTGTTAAACAATAAATAATATTCATGCACATGATTGATTGGAAATAGCACACTTAAAAATAATTCTGAGAAGGAAACTTGAAAGAGAAGATATTCTGGGAACTGAGAAAGGAAGCAAGAGAAAAGAGTGCCTGGAGCATAGGGGCGCATAAGCTCCGTGGTCCCAAAAGTGAAGTGGAAATCTGTGCCCAAGTGTGTATTGTAATATAAGAAGGTGAGACCACACCTTTCACCTCTCAGAACTGGGAGCCTGCGGCAAACTGCCCTGCTCACCCCACAGACTCTCTCAGGTGGCCTTGATATGGAGTCAGAATAAAAGAGAATATATACATATGGATGCAAAAAAATATTGTTCTCTTCCTTCCCTAAGGCTGAAGAAGGTGTAGCAGACTGAGGTACCTGAGAATCTTTTAAACTGAAGAACAAAAAGATGAGGGCAAGATTGTCTTTAAGGCCATTAAAAAGGAGAAAGTGCTTACAAGTGAGAGATTTTTCAAAACTTGCTGAATAGAGAAGTCAGGCTTATTTTTAACCCTTTCAATTTAAAAACTAGCTTCAACTGAAGAGAAACAGAAGTTATTGTTATTTCATTGCTCAGGGAACAAATATGCCATGTACCGGAAATTAAGATCCTAAATTTACTTTGCTTCTGTACAGTCACTGGAGTGACTGGGTTATATTTTTAATTAGTTAGGGCATAACTGTAAGTAATTACAAAAGTAAATAGATGAAAATAATATTTCCCTTAGTTATTCAACATCAGAATTCCTGGATCCTGAGGTGTAAAAATACCTGAATATATAGAGTGAAAAAGAAGATTAGATAACACAAGATGAAAGTGATGTCACTGAGGGAAAATACGTAACTTCCAAGACAAAAAAAATACTACAGGAAAGAAAAACTCTTGTATATGTATAGTCCCTGCAAAGCCTCAAATGCAACAGTCTTTGCAAAGGTACATACCCAGTTGACATCCCACATTCCAGAACTCTTGAGGATTATAATTTGAAGAGTTCGTTCTTGTTCCTTTGGGGTAGATTCTTGTAAGGAATCTTGAAGTATGTGAAACAAACTCCTCAGCTGAAAAACAGAATGATAAAACCTTGGTAAGAAAAAATTTATTAACAAAGAGATCTTATTTAAATAAATAATAATAAAAATTTAATAATCTGATCCATCAATATTATTATTTCTTTACATGATCAGTACATCATATCCATGTATTTCTATTTTAGGTTGATTCTGTGCATGTTAACATTAGTATTTGGGTCACTCTAAGATATGGTTGAAATCCTATTTTAAAACCTTAAAATGTGATAGCATTTTGTGTATATTTGCATGTGAGAGTGTTTCTGTCTATAGTGCAGACTTTTGTTGAAGGTTCGATAACCAAGATCATTCCTTCAGGGAAATATTCTATTTCTTCACCTCTTTGTTATGTAAATATACAATTTTTATACTAAAGCCCAATGTGTTCTTACGGAAAACTGGAAAAACAAAACAGGAAATTGATCAAAAAAACCAACTCATTCCTATTTTTCAATAGGAAAAATATCATCCCAAGATGAGCTTAGCTTCATTGCTGGTTTGAGTTTTAAATAAAACAACTGAATAATCTCAAAATGAGTGAACAGCACGTTTCTAAAACACGCTTAATTGGTTCCTTCATAATCTTGAGAAGATGTTAACTATTCAACTGGGTTGGTTTTCTTCCTCCTAGCAGTGTTCCCTCCTACAAAGGCATAAACTAAACAGATGTGGAAAAATTCAAATGACTTCTATCTACACTATTCCTGTTTAGCAACTAAAAAGAAAGCTTTACGCTTCCAGGATCATCACTCTGATCCTTTCCATCCTCCCATCCTCTTTTTTTTTAAGAAATAGACCTACTTATATATTCACTAGATAGAGTGAACAGAGAGGACTCTGAGCATGGACGGCTCACAAAAGCCTACTTGTTTTGATGCCTTTCAGCACCGTCCACCTAACCAACCATTGAATCATCTCCACAATGTGGTGCATGGCAGCTGGGCTGGCCATTGTCATGGTCACTTCATTGTCATGGTCAGCGATCTCTGTTCTTAACACTCCCTTCAGGCTACTGGCAGACAGCTGGAGGAAAACCAGCAGAGGCTGCGCTGTACTGGCTGCACCAAATGGAGACACTCCAACACAGAATGAGTTTTGAATAATCCGACTTGGCTGGTGTGAAAAATCTGGTCCAATGGAGCAGATGCCTGCTATGTGGTTTATTTATTTTGTCAATGCAGATTGTCTTATCCACAGTTATCATCAACGCCTGGGGTCCTGTACGCCCAGCTCCAGTGAGCACTACAGACCATACATGGGGGAGGTGAAATCTATTCCACACATTTTCAAGTATTGACTGTAACTTCAAAGTTATTTGATGCAGAAAACAATGAATCAAAAGGTATTCATACATTTTATATGCTATAATACTTGTAAAAATACATGAAATCAAAACAAATCTGAGATTCATTTTTCCTCACAAAACCAACTGAAATATAAAAATGTGCAGCAAATGGCAAGATATTTCTAAAATAATATCATGAAAGCAATCAAATAAAATTGGACAGCATGTGTTTCATAAAATTTCAACCCTTCCAATGCCTAAGCAGTAAACCATAGCAACATTATAACTTTCATCTGATTAAATAAAAAAAAATTACCTGAATGTTTTACAAATTTCCGTGCACGAGTCTCTCCAATAGAATTGTTTTCATAGCACTTCTGATTACTTAGAGAATGCTCGAAGCTCACAAACTTCTCAGATTTGGTGTAAATTACAAGATCCGACAATGCAAAGGCAATTTTCATCTTCTTCATCTAATAATCGTAATATAAAAGAATGGAAGAATTAAAAAAACACAATAACACATATTTCATTATTATTATTAACAATTCAGAAGAAACTATAATTTTGAATGCGTAAAGCATGAGGAAATGTGTCACAATTAATGAATATTTCAGCTTAAGATATGACTTTTGATAGTGAGAGTTGATCCAGTCAGAGACAGTAAGATTATTGTCCCTATGCTCATCATAGCAGTTGTAGCATGAATGGAGATATGCTTCCAATGCTTCCTAGCACAGTGTTCTGTTGGACAGCTTTATTATTTTCCTGATTCTGAGATTAGTATGTAAATTAACATAATTTTTCATGACTCTTAACATTAGTCATTTAAAACATATGTCCAACTGTATATTTCTAAATAGATAAAGTACTAGAAAGTGTATACTGGTAGGAAGCACTGAGAGACAAAAAAAAAAAAAAAAGAGAAAGAGAATCTCTACATCAATAGTACAAACTCAACTAAAAAATGTAAAGTAACAGGAGAATATTTTACCATGCCAAGCAAATCAATCATAGGTATATTCCTCCAAGCATTGGTCTGAAGTTAGAAAAAGTCTGTTCTTCTTAATTAAGATGCAAAGATCTTTGGCCAAAGTCTTTGTTTAGTCTTGCTCTATTGCCAAAGCAAGCAAAAGCAAAGGCTGCTCTACACTGAAGTGACTGAAATTTTACCAGAGTCTTATCTCTTATACTGAGGTACTATGTGACCTCTTCATTTTACTCAGCATGAACTTGTGAGCTAATTAGTGGTAGTAGCCAGCAAAGAGCCAACTGTGCTAATAACGTCTACATTCCATTAAAGCTTTTGAAGGAAAATTCTCATCTGACAAAATAATAGCGATTGCCTGCTTGTGACTCTCAAACTACACAAAGTTCAAGTGCTTTGATTATTCTGGAGCTATCTGTCATGAGCAGAACTAGAAGTCCACTGGCACAGAATCCCTGATGAATAACACAGCTCTCTGAATGTTCAAGGCAGTGACACAACCAAAGCCAACAGCATCACTAGGGTATCTTGGGTGTGGATTCAAATGTTGCCCCTCCAATAGGGTAGGACCCTGATAACCATTCTCTCTTGTGCCTATGAAACATGAGCAGACATCTGTTATTGCTGCTGTTGATCAAGATGTATGTGGTATATGATCTGGTCTATAGTGTGATGTTACAAATATATGTGACCTTGTTATGTGGAAATTTGGCCTTCCCTATGCAAAGGGGACTCTATCCTTCCTCAGAACTTTTTGTATACTATCTCTCTATATCAGATGGAAAGAAAAAGAAGTGAAGGTCTTGACCTTCAAATCACTTAGAGAAGAGACACTGCCTTTCAGCAAAATATTAAGCCCTGAGGAGCATTCCCAGTCTATCTGCGTGAAGATAATCAGAGTGTGATGTGCAGAAGTGACTGGATACTGGGTGCTTCCTGCATGCTGGAAAAACTTAAACAAAGCAGTTTGAACCCTGACAGAGTAACAGATTTCCAGGGCAGAGAATTGCTATTCAGTTAAAAAAATGGGTAAGTTCCATTTGATTATTAAAAAGAAAATTACATCCATTTTTTACAATTTCTTTCAGAAATAGTATTTAATGTTAAGTGTCTACATGATGAATGTAAAAATACCTTTCCTGTTATAAGTGCTTAAAAATGTTTTAGCACAACCAGAATTCTACACCTTATTTCATGCATAAATCCAAACCAGAAGAAAATAGGGGAATGGGAACTCTTCAAAATTTACATGGTAGTCTGGTGGTCTATGGGAAGAAATAGATCGTTAACTCTGTCCTTCCTCATCAGGAACTGCTGTGAGTGTTCTCCATGCATAACTCCAGGAGGCCCTTGAGACTGACAAAGCAGTTGGGCAACTTTATCTTAGCTCTATTGTGTTATTGAGCACCTGTGACAAGCAAGACTTGAAATTGAAAAATGCAGATGCAGTTTAGGATGGGAGCACAGGGAAGGGATGCTTTTTAGCTGGATACTAAAATAAGCTCCATTTTGGATTGTCCTCTAAGAATCAGGAAAACTCTGAAACCTCGAGCTGAAAACTATTTCAAAATGTATTGCTCTAGGTAATTTTAAAGCCTATCTTTTAAATTTAGTCTCTATTTTAAGATAATATATTCCTTCTTATTAAAAAAAAGAAGTCATACGTCTATGCATTTTCTAAATTCCATTGAGACAAAAGTTACCTTCGCTTTTTTTCGAGGTGGGGCTGAAGGTCTATGATTACTTTTTCTTTTTGGGGAATCACTCTTTGGATAAAGAGGAGCTTTATCATCAGCCTCATCTTCGTCGGACAAAATTTCAAAGTCGGAAACTTCCGCTGTCTCACCACGACTGTCAAGTTCTCTCCTCAGCATACCTTCTTCAATCGTACCAACTTTTTTGTTCTTTATCAGAATTTTGAATTTTAATGCCTGTAGAAAAGAGGTTAAACAGTAGTATATAGAATTAGGTATGGACTAATTGCAGGTTTTCATATCTAGATATTTTTAACCCACATTCAAAGCTGTTGATTAAGTATAATGAAGAGCAGTAATATGACGTGAAGGTAGATATTGGTGAGACAGAAGTCAAATACAAGCAAAACGAACAGAATCTGGGGATAAAAGTAAATAATAGAGCGTGAATATCTAACCTTATGACAGGAGAAAAGGCTCTCCACCACACAGATACACAGAGGCTGAAACTGTGAGTCAGATTAAGGTAGGAAGTTTAGTAAATGACAGAAGTGATGGCCAGGTAAAACATAGGAGGTGTATTTTTTCACTATGCATTAATTCATTTTCATATATAGACTTTTAGATATGTATCTGGTATTAATTTAAAATCTTTTTTAGCTATCATGGCAGCTGCTGGAAATTTGGTATCCTATTTGATTAGTGCATTTGTGCACATCTGCCTAGCGTACTAAATTAAAACTTTTGTTGTTATGTCATTATACAGTGGATCCTCACGCTGATTGTCACCTGGTGAGGGAAATTAATAGAGTTTGGTAATTTGTTGCCTAAGCAATTCCTGTATTTTTAAATGGGCATGTTGCAACTTCCATAATAACAATGTAGGAAAAAATTTCATTAAAGGTTATAATTTCTAATACGATGTCTTTCATCTATGCACCTGAATCCAATGAGTATAAATTTCACTTAGATTTATGAAGTAATATTCATAAACAAACAGCTATTATGTAGCAGACATTCATCTCTACCTCTGTACAGAGGAACTGCCAACGAGCAACAGGACTTACTTAGGTTCTTAGATAAAGAGATCCACAAAAACTTTCCTTAATTTTCATATGCGCTAGTGAAAAGGAGGGTTATACGGCTGGGAAAGTTACAGAAACAAGGAACAGATACTTACATGTTAAATAAAAGATAACTGAAATGCTCTATTTTAAGGTATCCCTTAAGTAACTATGAAAAGTATGGCTGATAGAAGCATGTATATAAACCCAAAGCTTTATAATAGAAACTAGAGCTGTAGGCAAAGAAAGAGACATTCCACTTATTTATACTGCAATCTCCGTTCCTGCTAATCCCCTTATCACTTCAGATCTTCTATTAGTAGTTTGTCAGTGTGCCAGCAGAATGAGAGATCCTCTGCTTAATATCTATCAGTGCCATGCTAGTGTAAGATTTGATTAGTCTCTCTGCACTGGTGATTCAGAATAAGGATGCCCTTTACCATTTCCTTCATTTCTTATTGATGCACTCATTTTGTCCTGTGATATTTTTAGAAGAGTTTTAATATGAGTAATGCTACTCATATTTTAACGAGTTCTGAATTTTCCTTTACATCTTCGTATTTCCCAATATTTTTAAGCAATTCTATCCACTTTTGTTATTCACTGGTAAGATTTAATTCTACAAATTAAAAAAAAAGACTTGGTATACAACAGAAGGAAAATCTGTCTATGGATGTATTAAAGCCTCCTGTATGTAAACTTGCTTTAAGTAAAAAAGACTACAGTCTGTGTCATCATAAAAATGGGCCATGATGTTTTATGTCAGGTAGTTTCTAAAATTCTGTTAGTGAGGATGCAAATATCCTGAGGTAGGACAAATATTCGTGGTGGTTTTTTTTTTTTCTATAAAGATAACATTTTAAAATCACAGCTCTTTTTTCAAAAACGGTTGCAGAAAATAATCTAGCAAGAAGAAATTTTGCTATTTTTTGGCCAGAAGCAGATTCCAATAATAGTTAACCCAAATCACTGAAAGTGAACCATGAACTAAAAAAGGCACACCATGGATTTTAAGTCTGAGCTTCAAACAGATCTTTAAAAAATCTTATGACAAACATACTGTTACAAAACCAGTCACTATGTCAAATTTGAATTCTTTAACTGGTAATCAGCAGTGCTGAACACTGGCATCTTTTTGTAGAAGTGTCTGAATCTTTTAAGCAGATAAAGATCTGAAAGTATGAACGTTCACTATAACATCTCTGTTTCAGTTTAATTATAAAATACAAAATGTTAAAAAAATACATGTTCATTACGTACTTCAACACGTAAAATGGTGAGACACGGATTTGACAGATGGACCACTCGATGGATAAAGAACTGGCTGGATGGTCACACTCAAAGAGTTGTGGTCAATGGTGCGATGTCTACATGGAGACCAGTGTCAAGCTGTGTCCCTCAGGGGTCTGTTCTGGGTCCAGTGCTGTTCAACATCTTTGTCAGCGACATGGATGACAGCATTGAGTGTATCCTCAGTAAGTGTGCCGATGACACCAAGTTGTGTGGTGCCATGGACTCACTTGAGGGAAGAGATGCCATCCAGAGGGACCTTGATAGGCTTGAGAAATGGGCCAGTGCTAACTGCATGAGCTTCAACAAGTCCAAATGCAAGGTCCTTCACCTGGGTCGGGCCAATCCTAGGCACAAATACAAACTGGGCACAGAGTGGGTTGAGAGTAGCCCTGAAGAGAAGGATTTGGGGGTGTTTATAGACGAGAAGCTCAACATGAGCCGGCAGTGCGCTCATGCGGCCCAGAGGGCCAACTGCATCCTGGGATGTATCAAGAGAAGCATGGTCAGTAGGTCAAGTGAGGTGATTCTTCCCCTTTACTCTGCTCTTGTGAGACCCCACCTCGAATACTGCGTCCAGTTCTGGTGTCCCCACCATAAGAGAGACATAGATTTGTTGGAGCGTGTTCAGAGGAGGGCCACAAAGATGATCCAGGGGCTGGAGCACCTCTGCTACAAGGACAGGTTGCGGGAGCTGGGATTGTTCAGCCTTGAAAAGAGAAGACTTCAGGGGGATCTAATAGCTGCCTTCCAATACCTGAAGGGAACTTACAGGAAGGCTGGGGAGGGACTTTTAACAAGAGTGTCCACTGATAGGACAAGGGGAAATGGGTTTAAGTTGAAGGAGAACAGATTTAGATTAGATTTTAGGAAGAAATTCTTCAGTACGAGGGTGGTGAGACTTTGGAATAGATTGCCCAGAGAAGTTGTGGATGCCCCCTCCCTGGAGGTGTTCAAGGCCAGGTTGGACGGAGCCTTGAGTAGCCTGGTCTAGTTGGGAGGTGTCCCTGCCCATGACAGGGAGGTTGGATTAGATGATGATCTCTGAGGTCCCTTCCAGCCTATGCCATTCTATGATTCTATGATTCAATATAAACTGTAAGTACACTAAAAAATTGAAATGTGTAAAATGTAATAGATCTTCTCTAGAGCATAATGGGACTTCAGTGCTGACATAAGCAAAAGCCTCCAGTTACAATCAATTGGAACAAATATTTAGATAATGAAATGAACAAAACTTAGATGTTATACTAAACAGGCATTCTGGCTAATGCGATGTGCAACACGAATCAGAACAGCTGAAGTAATACAAGACTCCAAGACGAAATCACAAACACTTGGAATAGATCGGGCAAACCCACTCACTGACCTCTGCAATTAATGTAAAAAGGGACAAAATTCAGTGTTCAGAAATGTAGAGAACAAACCCTAGATTTGGGTCATAAGCATTAAAAAGAGAAGAAGAGCTTCCCCTGTTTAAATTGAGCATGTTGTTTTCTCTTCTTCTTTCCCGACCAGCTGTAGCTGCTTACTAAGAGGAATATCGAATCCTGAAAATCTTGCTAAGTAAAAAGGTTAAAATCAGTTTAAAGTTTTACATAATTTTCTATTTCAAGGATTATATTACTGTCTTAGATACTGATATAGAGTAAAGATGTGACATCTTCTATGAAGTCTAACATGGGGGAAGCTTTCAAGGATTTGACGAAATTTATCTGGAATGAAAAAAACAGGATGCTATTGTTAAGTACAACTGTTAAAAAAACCCTAACACCAGCATTCTTTGAGGATTCAAGAAGAGAATTACACTGAGTGAAAGTGTGAATAGATGTCTTTGTGTCAGCCTCATAAATCAGTGTTATTGAGATATTTCAAATCAATACTATCAGTAATGTCTCAGCTCTGGTTAAACAGCTGCTAATTTTATCAGGAGCACCTTTTTAGCTGTCTCATAACAAGCTTTCATACGATACAGTCATCTAGTGTGAAGTCTCCTACATTGAAAATTCCAGTTCTGTGTTGTGCTCTGTAGTAGACACATAATACATAAGAGACTCTTTCTAATGTCCTTCTATTAAAAATACAAAAAAGCAAAACACGCCTAAAGAAGGAAATTGGGAGGGATGACACTGGCAGACTAATTTGCTGGATGAAGTGAGAACCTAACACAATCCTGGGTAAAAGTGTATGTGTTCTAAGAAGCACTCTGTCCTTAAAAACAATTTTGCAAGGTATTCTTTCTCATTCATTTACCAGAAAGAGTACCACACAGGAGAAGATCAATTTGCTAGTGGCTCAGAGGCTTGATCTTTTGCAACTGTTGGCAGCAAGGTTAGATACCTTGGAAAAACAGGACTCTCTCCTATTTTACCTGAGGACTCCATCAAACATAAGACAAATATGAAAACACACATAGATTTTCCTAACCATACATCGAAAAGACATCTGACAGTAGTCTTGGAGGAAGTTGTAGTGCAGATGATTTTGAATTTCTTTGAGACTTTTAAGGCAAAAAAATAGAGCATAACTGATCAGCAAATATGTTGCAAATAGCACTATTGATCAACCTGCTGCTCGTGGTTCAGGAATATGCAACAATCGACAGTTTGAGTTGCAAGGGCCAGCAGCTGCACAAGGTGACTCAGGAGGTGAGGGTGACAGAAGGGCAAGCATGGTGCAGTGACCTCATCAACTAGGGCGACAGTAAGACAAGTAAAGCAGTTTAGTGATGCCAGGCATAGGCAAGCTCATGAAGCAGTCCACTGACTGCCAGACAAGTCATGAGGCAGGTCCAAGGTCAAACCAGGAAGCCATATCTTATAAACACAGAGTGGCTGGGTTTGGAAGGGACCCCTGCAGACCATCTAATCCAACTCCCTTGTTCAAAGCAGGGTCAGGAAGTGTTAGGGCTGTGTCCAGTCACGTTTTGAGTATCTCCAAGATGGAGACTCCATAATGTCTCTGGGCAGCCTGCTCCAGAGCCTGACCACCCTCACAGTAAAAATTAATTTTCTCAAGTTTAAATGGAATTTCTTGTATTTTAGTTTGGCCCTATTGCCTCTAGTCATTTCACTGTGCACCACTGAGAAAAGTCTGAGTCCAACCTAGAGAATCCAAAAACTTTATGATAAACAATACAGTTTTCTTCTTTTTGAGGTCATCACCAAGGCATGCTACATTTTCAACGTGTTTCTTCTCATTTTTGTAAAAAATAGATGCCATAGACAGATTGAAAGGCAAAACAGTAGGCTGGAAATATTTTTGACTCGCTAAGAAGCAAGATATATCTGATGCAAAGACTTGGTCAAGACATTTACATATGCCAGCTGCAGGTCAAAAAACCAAGAATGAATCTCATCACTGAAGCAACAGAATTAGATATGTTAAAGCAGTCTTGATCTTGAGCTTCTGAGTGAAAATCTTCACGTCCTACTCTTTCAATAACCAGAAAATAAGACTATAAAACCCTATAAACATGCAGGAGAAGAAAATTTGGAGATGGTTAGACTGAAAATTGAATCATACAGCCACAGGTTAATCAGACCATTACCCTTTTGTGAGATGTTGCAGACAGCCAGTAAGAACCTGTTTGCCAGAGATTATAGACAGCCAGGTGCAGCCACGTTTTGGAAGTTTCTCAGTGAGACAGGCCTTTATAGAGAAAGAAAGTGCCGTAGCGATGTGAATCTCTTAGACATGCACTCAAGCATCACATGTAGATGTCAAAGACCATGGTACTTGATTCACCCAGACTGGTGCATTCTGGAAAAACAGTGACTATTCTGGGAAAACAGTGATTGCATATGGAAAGCTCCTTTGTATATTGTATAGATAAAGGAGAAGAAAAAGGTGAAGGAGTAGTCCTGGCTATGAGGTTAGTTGGTTTCTCCCTAATAGTAGGCTTTAAAGGTATTTTTAAGTATATAATTCAGTAACTCCATGATTAAGATGCAGTACACTGATTTTGTATTTACTACAGAGGACATAGGATCCTTGAACATCTATTAGAATGAATGCAGCTATGTTATGAGAAACTTCAAGGTTGCAAAGTGATACTGGAAGTGGGATATAAAAAATGCAATGCTACCATCTAAAAAACTATGTTGACTTACTGAGAAATTTATTAACATCTATTAAATATCTTTATGACAACATTGCTATGAAAATATAGCAGTATGGTAATTCTTTAGCAAGTCTTTTGCACACACCGCTTCAAAAATATTTTTTCCGTTACAAATCCTTTACAAAGATACATCTCTCAGAGAGTAGTCTTTCCTTATGACAGTCTTTCCTCCCCACATTTTCATTGTTCCTTTTTCAGTTACCATAAAAAAAGGGTATAAAATATATCTGATATATCACTGGCAACAGTGACAAGCCTAAATAACTATTTTGTAAGTATGCATGTATTTGTGTCACAAGAGATTAAAAAAACCCTTTTGTCCTTGAAGGAAAATTATGTGCAAAGACTGGAACAATGGGAATTTATTTGTTTTAGTTTGCAATAAAATTTTCAACACCCATCTAATTGCCTTTTCTGACTTCATATCCCAGAGGCCTCAAGCCACCAGCTGAGAAACTGCCTTAGGTAGAAACACACTGAGAGAGAGTTTAGTTTTAAAACTAAACACTGGAAGCCTAATTTCAGAGAAAAGGAAGAGAGGAGAGAAGAGGGGAAGAGAGGAGAGGAGAGAGAAAGAGAGGAAAGGAGAGAGAATTGTTCAGTTTAACCTCAAAAAGTTGACTTCACAGATCAACAGAAACTTCGAAGCTCTGCATTATAACACGATGTTTCAATAACTTGAAATTTCCAAAATTAATCAGTTGTTTGCATAGCTCTCAGATTCAGAGTTCAGATTCAGCAGCACTTCTACAATCTTTGGCAAGTCATTCCCTGTGTATAAATCTGCCCTCTTTGAAGGCAGAAGCTTCTACCACATCTCCAACATAGGACTACAGCAGATGAACCACGCTATGATAACTTAATTCATAGTAAGCAACAGTTTGCTTTAAAAAAATCAGAGTAATTTCAGTGTTGCTACTCAGTTTTTGATATGCAGGTTTTACAGTGTTAGTAAGTATAGTTACTTACTAACTTGCAGATTACTACAACTGTCATGTTTCCGTATAAAAAAAACCTGCAACCCACAAACTTTACTTAACTGTATTTGGATATAAAATAAAATAAAACTTTTAATGCATCCAAAGCACCAGAAGTTGGATTGATGTGAACAGCAAGATCTAAGGCTTTGTAAAAATGTCAATACGTTAGCTTTTAACAAATACGTGCTTCAGCATTGTATTGAAAATGGTTTTCCTTTAAACAAAAGCTTCCATATCAGTCCACATGATTAATTTTGGGTTTTTTTTTCAGTTTTATCTTTCCGTGCAGGGTTTTTTTTGTGTTTTTTAATTATTTTTGTTAGCACCTGGAGTCTGTTTCAGACACCAAATGATAGCAGTTTCATAAATTCAGTTTCAGAAGATTAAAAAAACCCACAAAAACAAACAAAAAAAGCCATTTTTTTTCCCCTTATCTTTCAGAGAGAAGAATACAATATTACCTCAGGAGAAGGTAGCCGAGTGACATCCGTATCACCAATTGTTGAAGTGAGAAGTTTGTCGCCTAGAATACTTTCCAAATAGTCTGCCATCACTTCTTGTTGCGTCGGGCTGCAGTGGTTCTCCAAAGAGAGTATAACTGGATAGTCAGAAGCCTGGAAATATAATTTAAAGGCTTTTATTAATCATAAATAAAAAGAAAACTACTTGATTTCCCAAAATATCTTACAAAATTTCCCTCGGTAATCTGTATTTTCCTTTCTTTTCAAAACTTTCAGAATATAGGTCAGTTGTTTCAGGTTAGTAACACAGTGAAAAAGCTCACAACATTTACAGAAAGGGCAATGAAAGAATAATGACAAACAAGGCAAAATTGGCTTTCAGCTAAATGTAAATTGTAGCCACCAGTGACTGTAAGTGACAGGGATTTAAAATATTTCTGGTTCATGAGGGAGAGTGTTTGTTCTATGTACAGAATTTCCTCTATTGTTTACAGAGTTTTGTTATGAAAAGAGAGAATTGTTTTGTTTTTAAAAGGTAAAATCAATTCTAAAATTACATTTGACAAAGTAAACCAGGATTAAATGTCTTTTGCTGTAATTTATGACAGATTTTAATTGACTAAATTTCAAGTTGCAAGTAGCCTTAAAATTTGCTCAGAAATCATTGCCTTTACATGGAGAAGCTATGCATGCTTTTTTATACTATCACAAGCTTTTCTTCGGACTCTACACCTTACTCATCTTGGTACCCAAGCAAGACAGGTGAAACATGAGAAATCGAGTGAAAATTAGAGAATAGCTCAAATGAGACATTCATTTAGACTGCGTAATCAAATGTCGTAAGTTGCCAGTAATACTGGTGGCTGCTAAAAACAAACTGTGAATAAAATCTTTGCTTGGGCAGGACTTAAACTGCCAGTTTCTAAAGTATCATTTTATGTTTACCCTGTTTTTACACTTTTCCCCTGAGCATTTGCTCTTGGCCACTAATAAAAGGACACTTTAGCCTGGAGAGACAGCTTGTTCAAACCATTATCTAGTGTTGTGATTTTATAATCTCATTGTAACTTGTGCCTGTTAAATGAAGTTTGATTTCACTACCTTTTAAAATCAGACACTAATCAAATTTTATATAGAAATCAGAACCGAAAAAATACAGCTTTTTAAGCATTATAAATACAGTTTAAGCATTAAAAATGCATAACTGAGAAGACTTTATAAATATATATGTATAAAAATACATACAAATGCATGATCATAGGCATATATATGCACACCATAACGCTGGCCTGAATACAGGAGTTATCTTAATAGTCGTTCAGGACCTAATTTGGGCAAGAGTTCTGTCAGAAACCTATACAAAAGACTGAGACAATCCCAAAAGCTCTCCAACTTTTTCTGCTTTGCCAGAGATAGGCAGAAGGGACATTGCCCTAATGAGTCATCTGACAAAAAGATAGCAGTAGGTGGTAACTTTTACCAGGTCTTGAATTCAAAATAAAAAAGGAGGAAACAGAAAACAGAGCAAGTCTCAAACTCAGCTATAATCAAACATTTTTCTCTATTTTATATATATATATGTATATACGTACCACAAACGCATACTTGTTTATCACTTGGATTACAGAACTAAATGGAATCTTGCTGGTTAAAGTGTGACCATGGTACACAACAGGATCCTTGTTGGAGCCATCCCAGCAGTCGATTTCCAGGCAACGGCATCCTTTTAAGAGAGCGCTTCAAAAGAACAGAAAAAATTTTATGGTCAAAAGAAAGATACCACACTTCCTTACAGAAGTCACTGTATTTCTAAGTACAAGGATATTAAGTAAATAAAAAAACCCCCTGCTTTTTCATCACAAAAGAAAATAAATCTGATAGAATTATGCAGATATGAGACACAGTTGTTTATCTTAGGCATGTTAGGTAATAAACTTTATAAGAGCATTAAGAAGTAAGATTGATTATCTGGAAAACCTTTATTAAGAGATTAAAAGCAAGGGTCAGATTTAAATAAAATAATTTTGCTACGATGACAAATAATTGCTTAAAATAGAAAAGTAAATGTTTGAAAGGGCTTTTTCTATTACTATTCCAAGATTCATTTGCAAATTTGAGAATCACTATACTTAAAAATAACAGCATCATACTTACAGAATCAGGTTGTGTTTGGTTTTTACATAATTCAGTTATTCTCTCCCCAACTTATTTCTAAGAGGGAGTGCTAAAGTTTCTTGGATGCCTTAAAATTATTGTTTTAATTTTTAATATGTTAATGGCACCCCTTAAAGTTCTTAGGGTTATAATATTTGGCTTGTTACTAGTTTAAACATTTATTGTAGACTATTTTACCTAATTATCAATCTGTCTTTTATATGCTAACGATATCTCAAAGATGATCCTAGCTTCTTTTAGCATTTTATATTTTCCTCACACAAATAGTAAAGAAGAAGAAAGGGGGGGTTATACCCTCTTTGCAACTACTCTAATCAACACAGTATTTATGTCATATCATTTTAAATGCTGTTAGAAATAAATTCACTAGTGTTTCTCATAGTTGCAAGCCATTATAGAATACTCAGAGAACAACCAAAACAAAGAAGTGCAGATAGATTCCAACTGCTTGCCTGTCACTGAAGTGGTACAAAGCAACAGGAATGCTGGACAGGTGTCTTCCAAATCCTTCGTACTTTCTGTCCCCACTCTGTATTGCCTTTATATAGAAGCCATTTTCTTCTTCCCTGATAAGTTCTTCTAAATCTGTCTTGGCTATAAGGCATTCTGGTTTCCTTCCCTTCTCCAAGTCATATGCTGCACATTTAAAGACAGTTTCTTCTCCCTCCTGGCTACTATAGTACCCGTATTTTTTGTTGTTGTTGTTATTTCTAAATTGGCTGCATTGGCACATACACTGGTCACAGATACCTTTGACATACTCCGCTGTACTGTGTCCTTACATCCTGTATATTGATCAGATTAGACTTTGCCCAGGAATTTTACATTTATTTCAGCAAGTTTTTTATTTTTGCATGGCATGCTGAGATTTAAAATGGATTTAATCATATACTGTGCAGCATGCTATAGATTTCATTTGCTGTGAGGTAGATTTTTCTGAGATGTAAGTGAAAAAATAGTTTGTTTCCAGACTATGAACAGATGGTTTGGCAAATATATTGAAAAGTGTACACACAAAATAAAATACCACTCACACTTTTTACTTGTATCTGCAATGATTTTGCTTCTTCTTGCCAAGCAGGATTGTATGTGACTAAGTATTCATTAAATAAAAGGCAAAGAATTTTTAAAATATTTAAAAAGAGTATCTAAATACCTGGTATATCCCCATAAGTGACTGGGTCCTATTAGTTGATCAGATATCAAATAGGTGTTATGAGACGATGAAATAAAATAGTCACATAAAGGGCGGTTCATGTCTTGGTATACAGTCCTGTGATCGTTCCTGAATATTGCACAGTCTTCCGAGTTCAGGTACCGTATAAATCCTTCAAATGACATCTCTCTTCTTTTTCTCACTGAACAAAAAAGAAAGCAAAGAATTTCTGGTGTGAAGCTGAAGTGATGGTTACATCTGTGTACTTTCCATAATTTTTAATAGTCAATTCTGAACATTGCTAAAGGTTACGCAGCATAACACTTTCCTGCAATTTAAAAATTCCTAGCAAACAATATAAACACAAACATCAGATGTGTGCAGCTCTGGAGTTGAATTGCTGTGGTTCAAAATTATGAGAGGAAATAAATGTGCTCTGACTTTTATTCTTCTATGGACACCAGTAAGAAGAGTTTGCAGTAATCTTAACTAAATGAAAAATAAAATATTTGTTGTTTCGTTTTGGAAAGTAATATGGCAGTCAATGCACAAAAAGAATCTTCTCCGTAGAAAGAACAGGTACTGTTCTCCAAAATGTCATTTGGAGAACAAATCTTGCATATTTTTGCAAATAATCTTGCAGAAACTACGGGTTTCTTTAGAACTCTCTCTTATCTTTGCTGATGGATATAACAAAACTAGTTTAGAAAAGAGTCTGCTTATTAAGTTCTGAAGAATCGCAGTCATACTATTTTCTGACCATTTACAGACGCTTTCTGTTTCTACATTAAAAGAAATGGGAATTCATCTCCATAAATATTCCGCAGTGAAAAGATGCTTTCATCAAGGCCTCACATTTCTTCCCTAGAGGAGCTTCAGTCTTTTTGTCCATTAGGATCCTTTAGCAGTAGTTAGTGTGAACCCATATATATTTGGTGCAGATAGAAAAAGAGAAAGCAAGAAAAGATTTCTGTCTTCTTGCAGCTTCTTGCTGTTTGCGGAGTGCAATGATTTTTTTCTTACCCTCTCCTTTTGGATCATAGAATCATAGAATCATAGAATCATCAGGGCTGGTAGTCCATAATACAATTAATAATAATATTCTGGATAGTCCATAATACAATTAATTAATAATATTCTTATTTTTTCCAAACGTAATTTAAAACCACAAAGTTCTTCCCTGTTCCTCCAGTTCAATTCCAGCTCTGCCATCTATACAAATACTACCATATCAGAGGAATGATGGTTATGACCTGAGTATTTGAAAGACTGAGATTATACTATATACCTATGTCTGTTACATTCTGCCTTATTTATCTTGAAACTTTTTTGAAAGTATTTTTCTTTTTTTATGGAAAAAGAAGTTAAACCTTTCATAAGATGTTTGCTGCCCTGAAGGGATTCAGACCTGTGGCAGATCCACGCTGAAGCAGATGAAAAAAGTAAGAAGGGAGCAGTAGCAAAAGAAAACTGTGAGAAAGGTAAAGCAGCAAAAAGAAATTACTATATATTGACCACAGCCTCCTGCAAAACCTGGTTCCTCACTGAAGGGGCCTGAGAAGAACCTGTAGCAATGTCGAGATAAGAAGACAGATGTCTGGACTAAAGTTGGAAGTGGGGAAGTGGGGAGGAAGTGGGGAAGAGAGGAGCCTGAACTGAAGCTGAGCCTGGGAAACAGAGAGAAAGGTCTTATCGCTGTGTTTAAATGTGTGTGTTCTTGTTTTGTAATAGCCAAATTAGTAATTAAATGTTTATGTGACTTGCCACTGGAGACATTGAAATGGGTACAAATATGTCTGCTGGGAATCAGGGGAGTGAACTCATGAGAAACACAATCAGAGACGTGAGTGTTGCCCTGCTGTACTGGAAGAAGGAAGCTTTCAATAGCTGTTGAAAGTGCCAAATAGTAACAGCCTCAAGGCAGAAACGTTATCAGATGGAATTCCATACTATGAAATTTGACTTCTTAATGTCAGACTAAAACATTTCTACTCTAAGTGAGCAGTAACGACAGAAATATTTGCTTGGCTAAAGTACAAATACAGTCACTCCTTTTCTACTCTGAGTTTACATTCTAGGGAGTTAATTTACCACCTGACCCACACTTGTAGCTAATACTGCTGCATACCGGAATAAAGCAGCTGTCTGAGCTGCAGTTTCGTTTTCTAAGGGCGTCTTCTGGGGAAAGCTTTTCCTAAAACCGGATAATTACACCCTCTTTCACACATCTCAATTCTTGCATTTCATCAATCCAGCTTCAACCATTGTCTTAGTCGAGATTTTTAAGTCATCTTCCTTATTTCACACAATTTTTTATTAAATCTGCAGCAATTTGACTGAGGTGTCTACTCTGTTAAGTTTGATTTACATTGGTCAATGGGATCAATAGTTGTCTGCTGCAAATGCATCCTCTCCCTCTTGCTCTGTCTCTACACACACATGCATACACAAAAAAACAAATTTAAAATAATATATATCCTAGGAATAAACTGAAGATTTTTTTTGGATTAACAAATACATTCTGGATTACTCAAATTCTTTATCTGACAGGTGCACCGAGCTTACATTGTTATTTACAAAGTAAGCAAGCTTTTCAAGACAGTATTTTGACCTGTTTTTGTACTGTGTAGCAGGAAAATACAGAGACAGGAGCAGAGTCTTTGAATGGTGCTACACCATAAATAATAGAAGGATGCACCTTCTTATCATCACTGTGCCTCTAATTCTATCCATGCAAATACCGAATAATGAGCGATATTTTTTTTTTTAAAGAGATATATACCAAGCTTAAAAAACATAAAGTGCATTTGGATGGCATGTTTTCTTTAATCTCATCTAATGACTCAAGACTTCTATTCAAAATTAATGATAAAATGGAGAGATAATTAAATGTTTGTGTAGAACAAAACTGACATTTGGATGTATGTAAGACACAACTGTCAGGTGTGAATCACATATTTGTCCCTTTTATGATCAATTCCATAAAATGGTTTCTTCAGTCAAAAATACAAGCTTCAGCACACACACACACAACATGTTAATGCAGCATTTTGCCTTTAGAAATTTAAATCATACAATAAAAATGGAAGAGTAATGTATTCCATACCATTCCTGAACTAAGTAACCTCAGAGAGTTAATTCAGAGTTATCTGGCTCAATAGCATTGAAAAGTCTTACCTCTCTACACACAAATATTATTGTTGGAGCAGGTCCAGAGGAGGGGGCCACAAAAATTATAAGGAAGAAATTGCTCAAGATGAGGGTGGTGAAACACTGGAACAGGTTGCCCAGAGAGGTGGTAGATGCTCCATCCCTGGAAACGTTCAAGGTCAGGTTGGATGGGGCTCTGAGCAATCTCATCTAGTTGAAGATGTCCCTGCTTATTGCAAGGAGGTTGGACTAGATGACCTTAAAATTTGGTCCCTTGCAACCTAAACTATTCTATGATCTTATGATCCTATGACTCAATTCAGGGAACTACAGTTTGGCCAGCCTTACTTTCATCCTGGGAAAATCATGGTGCAAGAACTCTTGGAAGCCATTTGTGGGAACTTGAAGGAAGCTGTGGATCTTTGTCCTTAGGGCATTTCAAGTTTTGACTGAAAAAAAGCCCTGAGAAACCTATTCTGAATTCAGTGTTGACCTTGAATTGCGCAGAAGGCTGGAGTAGCTGCCCTCCTGAGGTCCCTTTCCATGTGAACAGTTCCATAAGTCTGCGATAGCAGAAGTTTGTGTTTAGAGACCTGTTCTTAGAAGCTAATCAGAGAACAAAACAGAAATGGCATTTCAACTTGGGAGAGCATAAATAATCGATTATAACTTTCACCTCAGTAACATAGATAATGACATCAGCAGACACATGATGGGACAGATTAATAACCAGACTCCATGCCTGCTGAAGATGCTGAGGATACACCACATTTGCAAGACTGCTTCCTACATCCCTGGTATCGTTACCATTTACAGCCAGCTGAGGGCAAACCAGAATGTAACTGTGTAACTCACTCACTCTTCCTCGGTGAAGAAAAAGATATAACCTTCTCAGTAGATAAATCCTTAGAAGTTAGTTTCCTCTGTGAAACCGCCGTTGTTAGATTACTTCTACATTTAAACTTTCTGCCATATGACACTCAAACATAGACATACTAGGTGCAAAAAGTATGATTCATGGAGAGCATTCTACTAAAACAAATTGTAGGTTTAAATCGTACAAAAAGGAAGTACTATATCAAACTCTAGTAGTATGTATTCTTTCCATTTGCAAGATTAACTTCAAGCAAAAAGCTCGACTATATCAGCAATATTGTAACAATTAATGTGATCTCCAAGTAGGATTAGAACAATCTACGTTGTACAATATTCTTTTGAACTGCAACAGGTTTGACTAAACTTATTTTTGCTTTTTGATTGTGAATCGGATTACTAAGTAGTTGAACCAAACTAAATTACACAACACTAAATTCTGATCTTTTGTAGTCTTCAGAAATGCTGTCCTCAGTCTTCAGATTTTAATACTGATTTTTTTTTAAATTAAAATTCATGCATTATTACTGATTTAATTATGGTTGATTTCCTCTAAGAGAAATATCCTGTGCTGAACAGACTAGTTGCTAAGAAAAAACAGTGTCTATTTTTTTATCTTTGTAATACAATATTTATATTCCTCTAATTAATTAAGCAAAATGATTTTTAAAGACTTAGCTAAACAAAAAAATTCATTCTGACTTCCTAATAATAGACATCCATATGTTTCAGTGAGCATTAAAAAGATTTAGTGCAGTTCAGATTCTCTCAACTACTGCATTAAAATTGTGTTTTGATTGAAGCCATCCACATGTAGGTTTTGGACATGTTTTGTTGCAAAAAGAAGTAAGAATGATGGATCTGGTAAATAATGTAATATGTTATTACTGAGCAAAATGCTGTGTAAATTTATTGTGCTTTATTAATGGTTTCTCGTATTATTCAATTCACGATGTTTAAAGATTTGAATTTTAAAAAATCAACATTTTGTACAAGTTCTTATGAAGGACAACATACATAATTATAATATAATTGCTTTTATTAGTTTTCTTTAAAATGTTCAATTTGCATCATCAGATGAGTATTCAAAAATATAAACACAGTCACTGACAGAAGGGCAATAAATAAGAGCTAGAAACCAAAATTTTAAACTGTACATACCTTCTTCAATTGGTTCATACTTCAAAATAATTTCCAAAGCAGTCACTTCACCAGCCTCAGTTTCGTGTTGTTCTTTTTGGAGAAATTCAGTGAGCTTGCTGTGAGGCAGAATTCTGCCGTTCGGTGAGTAGGCACAGAAAAGTTCAGTAAATTCGGGCCTGTGTGTGATTGCTCGATAAATCGTCATAAAATCTTCAATGTTAATCGAATGGCCCTTTCGTTTATCAACTGTTTTCTGAAAAAAAACACAAAAGAAAATGACACCAGTCAATACAACGATACGCAAAGTTGCAAAGATACACACAAAACACTCGATAATAAGTAATCGTAAGAGCGAGAACAACAGAGAAAACCTCAGGTGACAGTGACTGCAATGCATTATCAATTTATATTCTTCTGCTTCTATATGCACATTTTAGATTTGACTTTATGTGTTAAAATATTTTATACAAATTAAAATATACCATATGACATAATTATCATCCAAGTAATTACAATATATTTCTATATAACACATACACAGTATTAAAACACATTATATAAAACCTTTAAAATGCTATGCAGTAAAACCAATTTCCTGCATAAAAACTGTCCAGTGGAAGACATATTCAACATAATACCTATCCAACAGCAATTTAAATTGCATTGTAAATGCTATCAGTTAAATTTACATCCAACATACAGCAAACAGTAATCTAAAAAATGAAATAAGGATCATAGCATCATAGAATGGCATAGGCTGGAAGGGACCTCAGAGATCATCATCTAATCCAACCTCCCTGTCATTGGCAGGGACGCCTCTCAACTAGATCAGGCTACTCAAGGCTCCGTCCAACTTGGCCTTGAACACCTCCAGGGAGGGAGCATCCACAACCTCTCTGGGCAATCTATTCAAAAGTCTTAGCACCCTCGTACTGAAGAATTTCTTCCTAAAATCTAATCTAAATCTGTTCTCTTTCAACTTAAACCCATTTCCCCTTGTCCTATCAGTGGATATTCTTGTCAAAAGTCCCTCCCCAGCCCTCCTGTAGGTTCCCTTCAGGTATTGGAAGGCAGCTATTAGGTCCCCCTGAATTCTTCTCTTTTCAAGGCTGAACAATCCCAGCTCCTGCAACCTGTCCTCGTGGCAGAGGTGCTCCAGCCCCTGGATCATCTTTGTGGCCCTCCTCTGAACACGCTCCAACAGACCTATGTCTCTCTCATGGTGGGGACACCAGAACTGGACGCAGTA